GCCAGACCCCTGGTTGTCAGCTAGGCTTCAGAGCTATCTCCAAGCCTGCCGCCATAGCCAATGACGTCACCGGAAGTCCTCGGAAAATACATGTTAATGCAAATAATTAACTCAAAATATTTGCTCTCTGTCTGTACTACCTGGATACAATCACCATCTGGCCTTTGTTTGTATAGTCTTTTCAGATCAGCTGAGATCAAAATTGAAAGCCCATTTGCTCTTCCATACAGACTCATTTTAGTGACAAGGAAGGTATATGAGAAGAATTGTGACAAGGAAGGAAGAAGAAATATCCAGGCACCAGATCTCCTGTAATGAAATGATATTACATTTTCATAGGTGCTGTTCAAAATAGGTATCTAATTTTTTGTGTCACCCAGAAATCCCAAGAGATGGTTTGTATGTAACCTGGAGCCTTAGAAGTGGCATTGGTGGCATTTGAATCATTTTGTTCTTGTCTAGGTGCAAGAAGATGTATTAAACTGATGTTATATTGAAGTTGTCATCAGAATGGGACAGGCAGTAACTTTGGACTAATATTAATTAAATTGCTATTTTTTAGACCTGACTGGACTTGCAAATTAAGTGGTTTTGATTAGGTTCTGATATAGGTCCTCATTTCTGATCTAGGCCCTCAGATAGAACAGAATGAAGCATATTTTCATTATCTGAAACAGAACAAGATGGAATAGCAATAGCACTTAGATGTATATACTGCTTCATAGTGCTTTATAGCACTCTCTAAGTGCTTTAGATAGTGTTAACATATTGCCCCCAGCAATTTGGGTCCTCGTTTGACCAACCTCAGAAGGATGGAAGGCTGAGTCAACCTTGAACGGGTCAGGATTGAACTTCTGGCAGTGGACAGAATCAACCTGCAATACAGAATAGAATAACAGAGTTGGAAGGGACCTTGGAGGTCTTCTAGTCCAAACCCCTGCTCAGGAAGGAAACCCTGTACCATTTCAGACAAATGTCAAGGTTCCGACTGATCAACCAATGGTTGTCCAATCTCTTCTTTAAAACTTCCAGTGCTGGAGCATTCACAACTTCTGGAGGCAATTTGTTCTACTGGCTGATTGTTCTCACTATCAGGAAATTTCTCTTTAGTTCTAAGTTGGTTCTCTCCTTGATTAGTTTCCACCCATTGCTTCTTTTTCTACCCTCAGGTGCTTTGGAGAATTGGCTGACCCCCTCTTCTTTGTGGCAATCCCTGAAATATTGGAACACTGCTATAATGTCACTCCTAGTCCTTCTTTTCATTAAACTAGACATACCCAATTCCAGCAACCATTTGTTATAGGTTTTAGCCTCCAGTCTCCTGCTGCATCCTAACCACTGCACACCCACGGAATCAGTTTGGGTTGCTTCAGAGTAGAAGGACGTGTGGACTTGCTGGGATGTGGGTTGTTTTCCTGCTTTGATGGAGTTGTTTGATTGTAGGATTCCAGTATTCTTATTGTTTGCAATAGGGTAAGGCTTCAAAATAGTTAATTACGCTTGTTTCTAGAACTTCATTAGTGCCAATATTTTCTTGCACAGTTCAGTATAATTATTTGAGCAGCATCTTATTCAAGGTCACTAAAGATGCTGAGTTGCTGTGGTTCTTATCATTTGGCACACTGTCAAAAGTGTGAGGCAGGGAAGTCTCTGCTTGAGATATTAAGCCATAGAGTGCAGTCCTTTTTCCATCTCGGAAAACATGCAGTGGATATATTTGAAAAGCAGAAAGAAAATATTTCACATTATTATTATTATTGCCTGGTTAATCTTTGGTGAGATTCACAGCCTTTGGGGCTGGTTGGTAGCTCAACAGCTTGAGTCCTAACCAAGGACCTAGGAATTGTTAAGGTAACGCTGAAGGATATAAGTTGTTCCAAGTAGGGTGGTTTTTGTTTTGTTTTTATTAAAAGTTTTAAAGAGTTTTACAATTATATACCTCTCCTGCTTGTTCCCTTTCTCTGAATCCTGGAGATGGAGGGTAACCAGCCTTTAATACGTTGCTGTAAAAATATCTGGCCTTCCAAACTGAGTTAAGATGATGTCTTCGTCCCAAGTAATTCACTACTTATCCGGCTGGGATTTCCCATCTATATTGTATCTGGCGGGTTTTAAGTTCATCCACTAGGAATGCATAGTCTTTCCTAGTTTTCAACATTTTTGGTGGAATTTCCTTCAAAACTGTCACTCCTGACCTGCAATCTGCAATTTGGTTTTATAGGACTCTTGTAGTATCAGGTTCCTTATATTCCTAGTAGCAAAGTAGACTACAATATCTCTTGGTAATTGTTTCTGTCTGGCAATCCATGAATTAACGTGGTATATTTTGTCCATTTGCCAATCATACTCAGCACTTGGTTGACCAATTAATTGGTCAAAGGCTTCTGCAAGAATCTCTTTCAGATTTTCTTGGTTATTCTCTTTGAGGCCTCTTATTCTCAAAGCAAATTCCATCGTTCTATATTGTATCGTTGTAATTTCTGCTTCTGACTTATCAGTCTTATTTTGAACCTCTTCAACTTTACTTTCTAGATTAACATTGGACTGGTTAATTTCTTCCATTCTATCATCCAATGTGGTTACATAGCTAGCCTAATCCTTAAAGGCTTCCACTAGGTCTTCTCTTCTTTGCTGGTTACGAGTCTGGATTAGCTCCTTGATCCCAGATATTTCCTCTGAAACCTCCTTAAAGGCAGATGTAATCTTTTCCTCTATCTTAAGTTCTAAAGCAGCAGCCTGTTCTTTTAAGGCGCCTTGCAGCGCATCAAGAGTTAAAGCCTCAGCAGTAGGGGGAGGTAATAATGACTGCAATTTGTTTGTCAGGGCTGGAGAGCTGCAGGGGGGCTCACCCCTTCCAAACCCTAGAATTTACTCCTGGGGGGGGGGTTAAGGGAACTCTACCCATGCTTGGCAGCT